CTGTACCAGATAACATATGCCACATTACTTGAGGAATTTCAACAGTAGCAACAACTAAAATGGATATCGCATATTACCAGAAGGATACCGTAATCGATCACGTGATCATAGTGGATGCAATATTTCATCAAGACCTTGCCATTTTTGGCTATATTGTCCAAATTCAAACAACCTATTCTGTACACTTGGATTCAATACTTACAAAAGGTTCATCATTGGACTTAAACAGCTTAAACAGCTTTCACCAGACATTTAAACTGAACTTTCAAACTGTGATTTATCATGCCAACTTACCTGGACTCTACTTTTAAAATTTAGTCACAGCTATATTATTAATATTCTTCTAATCTGTCAGTATGCCTTCATTTGCTTAATTATTCTACCATTTACTTGATTCATTGTTGGTTCAAGTTTCTTTTCAGTACATTTAACCATAACACTCCTTTTGTATATTATTTAAATAAATTTTGTATTAATTTGTCATTTTGTTGTTCGCTTGTTGACTTGTCAGATTCATGTCTTATTTTTAAAATATTAGTGGGCCTCCTGTGACTCATCATTCTTTGGGTGCAAAGGACATTTTACTTCACGGCCCCTACTTTACAAGAGTAAAAGGTTAAAAAAGAAACCCTTATCGATACTGGAAAGAATAACAATTACTGGACTTGAGAAAACCTGTTTCCAGGCAAAGCTTTTTCTAAATTTCAACTGATGACATTTTTTTTTTAAATTGTTGAAATTGAGAAACCAGTTTTCCTGAAAAATCGTTTTATAAATTTCAAATCAATGACATTGTTTTTTTTTTTTAACCGAGTTACTGAGTGTGAAAAAAATATACGAAAAAGAAAAACATTAAAGTGTTCAGATGAACTGTATCTTCTGATCACTAAAATCTTAACCTGTTCAAGTCTAGAGTCAACAGTTTTCTTCCATTCCTTTCCATATAAACTCCCCCTTATCACAACTTACCCTCTACCACAAGTAGCCTTGTACAGAGTGAACCTTTGTGTAAAAAAAAAAAAAAAATAGGAGACATCAATAAAATAACAAGTATTAAGAAGGCAGAAGAATTCTTGATCAATGAATACAAAATGTTTCTATGTAAGCAAATAGTTAATCTCACCATTAGCATTGTTCAAGCAATAAAATATGTTGTTGTTAATTACATGTTATTGTTCGTATATGCAATTTAACTCTCTTGTTTGAGTCAACTCTATATTAAATAATTCTTCAACAGTTATTTTTCAGGCTGTTCATTATTCTGACTTTTAACATCATTTATTTGTAAATTAAAAGAAATTACTATATTTTGTGAATTCTTGGTAAATAGGGTAGGACAAAGTAAAACGTTACTGTCATGCTTAATTTAATGGATGCACCAATTGCAAGCTTTATTTTAGGCATTCAATCAAAATGGCGTCTTTTTATCTGTTTGCTTTAACCACTGATGAAAAGCAAGCAATTTTGGTTAATCGCATTATTTAGAATTTGTTTCCAAAAGCGGATTTCTGTTCATTGCAAAATTCACTTCAAACATATTCAACATATGCAAGTAATTCTTTGATTAGCACATTAGATAAATGCTTAAAAAGTGCAGCACAAAAACCAAAGACTTCTTTAACATTATGGCATTATCTGATGCTAAGTTCAATGCAACAGGGCATACCCTGGAGAACATGTGTATATGTATATATATATATATATATATATATATATATATATATATATATATATATATATATATATATATAATATAATATATATAATATATATTTTTTCTCTAGACACAGAGTGGAGAGACAAACATTATATAATGAAGCATCCCATCAAACTATTAACCCAGGGAAAACTTAAGGCCTAAATCCGGCCCTGTTGAAAGGTTAGAGGATACATTTGAGTTTCCTCAAACAAGACAGTAAGAATGAAACATTTATAACAAATTATTTAAAATTCCCACTAATATCCTCATCTTTGTTGTTAGTATAATATCACATTTGCCATTGTATCTTTCAACCTTCCTCAGGTGTCTGTCGATCTGTTTTACCCTCAGGAAATTTCAAATGAGACTCTTTAGATTTTTCTCATTCCCCTGTTCACGTCTAGGGATATCTCATCTGATTCAGTCCTGGTCAGCTAACAAAGATGAGGACAGCAGTCTGAATGTAAATATTGTGAACAATAATAACTCCTCATCTCAGAAATTCAGAGATTATATTGCCTTAGCAAACCAAGCGAAAAGTATGTACATTGGAAAATACTGCCATATTTGGTCTGGTGCACCCATTATATATATCCAGATTCTTGACAAAATCCAAAAAAGAATCTTTAACATAATCAAATCCTGAGCAGGCATCTCAACTTCAGACTCTTTCTCACTGATGTGGTGTGGCTTCTCTCTCCCTCTTTTCTACAAATATTTTCATGGCAACTGCTTTGTCTTTATTTCTCTTAAATAGTTGGGATCAATCTTCTATGTGCTGCATCTCTTCTGGACGTTGGAGATCATGGCTCTCCACAATTTCCTGTCCTTTGTAGCTCTTCATATATTTTGACTTTGTATTATCTCTCCTAAACCCTGTTCTGCTAACAATTCACTGACGCTCACCAGGTAGGTTATGCATTGTTCTATGTCCCTCTTGCCTTCAATGTCTTGTGTGTATCAAAATTTCCAAGCCCTCTTTCCTCATGATGTGCCCTAGAACAGTTTCTTTCAACTGTCTCTTTCTGATGCTAAGTCTAAGTGTCCTTTTTGTTTCTATTTTATCTAAAACTTTATCGTTGCTCACGCGTTCGGTCTATGGTATTCTCAGCATCCTTCTGTAGAGCCACACTTCTGTTGCTTTAAGTCTCTTCTTCATCCGTGAGGATATTGTCCAGCATTCACTGCCATTTCACATCACTCTTCTGTAGAACCACATTTCTGTTTCTTCAAGTCTCTTCATCTTTGAGGAGATTGTCCAGCATTCACTGCCATATAGGAGCTCTGATGTTATATAACAGTTCAGTACTCTTTGTTTCTATCTAAATTTTCTCTGTTTCTTAATACTCTTCTTAGCTTTTGAAATGCATCTTTGGCTATCCCAATGTGCTTTCAGATGTCAGTGTCACACTCTCTGTCCTCTGGTTTTATTCATAATGTGACATTCTTTCTTATACTGCAATTAAAACCAAGTTAGCACACCAAGTATTGCTTTTATCTTTATGTGCTATGTCCCTTTAGGACGTACACGACCATGGCTCTCCACAATTTCCTGTTCTTTGTATTTCATGATAAATTTTGTCGTTTTGTTATTTCTCTTAAATCTTGTTCGGACATCCATTTACTCAAGCTCACTAAGTATGTTATGCTTTGTTTTCCACTGTCCTCCTTGTTTGCTTGCTTAATATTTTTTTTGCCCAGTTCTTTTCTCTTATCTTGTAATTGTTTATTGTAAGCTTTGTTAAATCTGTTTCTTGGGCAGTTCTGCCATTCATTTGTGAAATCTTCCACAACAAACCAGCCTTACCTCTTTTTAGGAAATGCACTTTTCCTATCTGGTAAGTAACATCCTACTTTCATACAAAATATCAACGAGAAACCATTGGTCAATCACAGTACATCCAACTTGCTGATTGGTCAGTTTCAACCAATCAGATCACTCTCACATGCAGAGTCAATTTAGGCGCCAAGTCAATTCTGATCCTACCACGTGATACAGGCAGATATATAAAACCAACACGTGTAAACTCCCTTTAGTTTCTTTTCATTCATCTCTCTCTTGTGTCTCATTCCTTGCTACCATGTACCAAGATGTAATCTTCAAGAACTGTCTTAGCCATTGCGGTCAGACCATTACCAACATTCATGCAAGTACAAACTCTGAAATCTCTTCTGAACTTTTACCAACTTGTACAATACACAATTCCAAACATGCTAAAGAAACTTTATTCTTCCTAAATTACAGTTTAATAATTACTTTCACTTTATGAGCTCAAATACAAATATTTACCTAATCAAAGGGACACAACTCTGTCTAACTTTTCGGTTCACATGCATGTATATCAAATATTAATAAACTCAATTGTTATGTTTTGAAACAAGATGTTTATGAATCATTATTTCTCCTTTCTTGTCTAACGTCAAGAGTTTTTGATCTTCATAAATTAAATAATAGGGAAAGAGATTTTATTTGGAAAGTACATCTGGAGGTGGCCTTGTGCCAGCTTTATCTCCAGAGAGAGAAATAAATCAAATATGTACTGCACCCCTACACATTTATTTACATTTAACAATGTCTATTCACTCCACATGTTTCCATAAGGCAATGATAATCTGTAAGAAATTGATCAATCAACATTGTAGCATTCAGAACAGATCTTGTGGGTGGGGAGTTGCTTGAATGAAACTCTTTACATTTAAAAAAAAATGAAAGAAATGAGGGTGATTTGATTCCGTGGAAGTGACCTGGTTTTCTTTGATCACCTTTAGAATTTCAGATCAGTGAATAAGTTAATATATAACTTGTAATTATGGCCCAATGCTTGCATTCTCCCGTGAGAATTGTTTTTCTTTCATAATTGGTAATCTTGTAAAACCACATTTTATTTCTATGGTTCTTCTGCGTGTTTCCTAACCTTTTTCAAGATCTTTTGTTAAGACCAGTTTCATTATTATTATTATTATTATTTCTCAATATTTGGTGTTTATCACAGACATGAAATAATCTTTTTTCTTTCATCTTTGTCTGAAGCAGATGTAAAACAAGCAATATTGATTGGAAACATTTCTGGCCTGAGAGAAATAAAGTCTGTTTTGGTTAAAGAGTATTTGAAGGAAATGAAAAGGTAAGAAAAAATATTAGGAGAAAATATATTCTATTTTTATATTAGGAAAAAGGAAGCACGAAAGAATAAACTAAAAAAAAAATAGCAAAGGAATAAAGTATGAACGCTAATAAAATGAAAAGAATACAAGGAAAAATACAAGAAAAATAACAGTAATAAAATGAGAAAAAGAAAAATCATTGAAAAAGAAAATTGAACAATGAGAAAAAATAAAATCGCGAAAGAAAAACCTCAATGGAAGATACAATTTTATAAAGAATAATGAAGGAAAGAATGGGAAATGTGAAAAAATAAGAAAAAAGAAAACAAAAAAAAGAAAAATAATGATGAGAAAAAGAATAAAAAGATAATGTGGTAAAAATAAAAAAGTGAAAAAGAACAGAAGTGAATAAAAAAGCAATAAGAAAAAATGGAATCAATAAAGAAAAACAAAAGAATAATGTTACAATGGACAGTAAAAGTTTAAAAAAAATAAAGCATACAAAAAAGTAAACGAAAGAAAATGCAAGAAAATGTACAAGAACAATAATAAAATGGAGGGAAAGAAAAAGGAAAATGGAGGGAAAGAAAAAGGAAAATGGAGAGAAAGAAAAAGGAAAATGGAGGGAAAGAAAAAGGAAAATGGAGGGAAAGAAAAAGGAAAATGGAGGGAAAGAAAAAGGAAAAGAAACAAGAATAATAAACTAATGAGAAAAAGTATTCCAAAAGAAAATTGAAAAGCAGATAGAAAGGAATATGTGAGAGGGAATGCAAAAAAAAAAAAAAAAAGAAAAAAAAAATGTGAAGAAAAGAAAATAGCAGAAACAATCAAAAAAGTGACAATATGCCTAAGAAAGAGTAGAAAGAAAAAGCAAAATGATAAATACAAAGTATACACGGAAAGAAATTAAAAAAAAAACAACAGAAAAGAAAAAATAAAAAGACTGAATAATAAAAAGTGTGAAAGAAAAACAAAGTAAAATTGAAAATTAGGAAGCAAGGAAAATACAGTTCTTATACATTATCTGTGAAAATCTCTTTGCAATGAATTATTATTCAATGGTTAGATTTGTTTTACGTAATATCAACCTTTTTCAGGTTATTTAATGACAGATTATTTCTAACAATAGACTGGGAGAAACTGGTTTGAACACAAGTCCAAAAGGTAGACATAACTAGCTTTTTTTTAATCATTTCACCCTAAGCAAGGCAATAAAGCCACTAAGACACAAGAGGTCACTGAGTGTTAGAGAATATGAGAAAAACTACTATTAAGGAGAGAGAGAGAACAATAAAATAAGAATTAAAAATGAAGATAATGATTAACATTGCATTTAATTTTTTAAGTTCAAATTTGAATGGAAAGCAAGAAGCTAGAAGTGAGCTCCACAAGGAAGAAGTGTGATAGGAAAAAAATGTTAGCATTGAACTTATATCTATATCTAGCCATTTCAACTGTAAAATGATGAGACTTAACTGCCAATCTAGTACTGCACTGAAATTCATAAAGTTTAAGTATCATAGATGAAAGTTCATCAGATCAATTAACATGAAAGTATTTAAAAATAAAATAAAAAAAGGTACAAGGAAACTACATTATAAAAATGGGAAGAGTCTGAAGCCGAGATGACAGGTCATAACAATCCAGGTTTCATTTTATCAAGAATCTCTCAATATATTGCAGGAGCAGCAGACCAGATGTGGCAGTAATATTCAAAGCAAGGACAAATGGCAGACTTATAAATATGTAAGACAGATTCTGTAAATATCTCTTCATAAATATGCAAGATTAGATCAGACCATGAAGGGCATATTGTTGCTAAATCTAACTCTTGTAAATGGAGATCATGGTAGCAGGAGTTAGGTATGTTTTTGTTCTTTTCTAGTACTGCTCAATTATTGCTTACCCTGTTACCAGTGACATCCTGACCTAGTGGTTGAAATTGGTGACATAGTAATAAGGAATTCAGTCACTGGACCAAATGTAATGGTGTTAGTATTATGTAAAATCTTCAAAGAGATGTTTTGTCATAATGCCAAAAAACTAACTAAATTATCTAAATATTACACTTTACACCATGTAGTGATATTATTATGCAATGAAAGTATAATAAATTAGATTTAGGTTTGGTTCATTTTGTCATATCAACTTCAATGGGTTATTTAATGCTAACAAGATTTTTAGGATATGTTCATATAAATAGAACATGTGTTCATTAGTAGTAAAAAAAAAAAACAAATTCCAAAAATGTAATGCTGGTATTTTTATACTTTAAAGAGTTTTGATCCCTGTTTGAGGGTTAACTATTTCTCCATAGCAGGAATCACAAAAGGTTCTACCACCCCGGATCATGTTAGGCCTGGGAACAACAGCAATTAAGAGATGGTTCCATGCTCCCCAAAAGCACCCGATCAGAGGCCTTACTTACTGCAATTTATTGACTTACTAAGGAGATGATAAATTAGATGGAGCTGTTGTAAAAAGCTTTCCACTTGCATATATTTTTAAAGGCTATCAAATATTGTACATATCTGGATGATTCCTAAATACAGCTTTGCATTTGTTATTTTAATAAATAAGCCACACTAACAAAATAATTTTTTTCCAGTATATTACCATTATACATTACTTGCGGATATGCAGTTAATACATTACTCTGTAACGTGTTACTGTAACGTGTTACTGTAACGTGTTACTGTAACGTGTTACTGTAACGTGTTACTCCCTAACGTGTTACTGTAACGTGTTACTCCCTAACGTGTTACTGTAACGTGTTACTCCCTAACGTGTTACTCCCTAACGTGTTACTCCCTAACGTGTTACTGTAACGTGTTACTCCCTAACATGTTACTTGCTAATATGTTAAATATTTACCTAAGATTACAAAAACTGGAAAAAGAAAAGAAAAAAAAACAACTAACCTTCGTGCTCGCGTTGGCGTCATAATGGTTGATCCTTGGCTCTCACTGTGTTGGTCATCGTCTGTGCAGCTGGATTCAGTGCCGAATGCTGACAAGATAGAAGACGCCATTTTAGCACTCTTTCCCTCTAGGGATCGAGATCCTGAAATATCAAACAGGTAAGATGAACAATAAACCAAAATGGATTGTTAACCTTTTTTGACGTCACAAAAGGATGACGTGGTAATATTAATCAGTGTGCAGTGCCAGAAAATGGTTGCCAGACATTGTGTGAGTAAGAAATAATTCAAGAAGAAACAATCCAATTTGGTTAAAAGAACCAAAACAAAACACCAGAAAATTAAAAGAGTTATTTTCAACTAATGTGATAAAAAGTTGCTGCTGAATGACTAGTTTCCATCAGAAGACAATCAGATTGATGCTGGCATTCCTCAGAGATTTCTCCTTGGTCCTACCCTTTTTCTACTTTTTTTTTTTTTTTTTTTATTAAGATATAGTATTAGGCAAGTTTAATAAATGAAATAAAAATACTTATTAAACCCATCTGAAAAGAATCATCTACTTATCCCCTTAACAACTCATTAACCATAACAACAGCATTCTTAAGGACAGGTCAATCAGCTGTTTCTGAAACCAGATACTTGGATTAGCAAAACAAAAAATCCAGTACCAAAGTGAAGGGCAATCCTACTTGCACTCATGCCACTTACCAACCTAAATTTAAACCCAAGAAAAGAGGCCTTTTAGACCAGTTCTTGCTACTCTTTTTCCAGAAAGTGGGACAGGCTGATCCCCTCTTTTCACCACCAAATAACTAAACAGGAAAACTACCTGCTACAAAGTAGGAGTCTCTCTTGCTTTCTCTTTCTCTCTGTTCCAGTGTATCATGAGCTATGAACTATCATACAAGAAGGATGGAATTTGTATTCATAAAACAAATTAAGACCTCCCAAAACAATGTTTGCTTAGGGTACATTCTTTTTTAATATAAAAACCAACTTTCTGTGCCAACATCCATAAAAGACTTGCCGAGAAACATCGTCAGATCACTGATAAACATCTCTGCAGATGACACCACTGTTTCTGGACACCCTTCCAAAAATCAAGATGACTAGAGCTTTGCAGCTGATCTCTCTTCTGACTGAGCTCTAACAGCTTAATGAGTTAAAAACTGGCAAGTATCATTTCATTAACACCATTTAGACAATGAGTTTTCTCCAGTCATGATGAATGGCATCTCTATTAATAGGGCTCCATTCTTCAAACATTGTCTCAAGTTCACTCAAGACCTTGAGTAGAACCCATGTATATGATCCACTGCTAAAGATGGGGGGGGAAGGGTCAGCTAATTTTATTGTTCTGGGAAGTATCTGACTCCTCTTGCCATGGTTTATCTGAACAAGTGTCAACTGCCATATCCGAGCTGTTCAAGCCTTACTTTCTCACTGTAATAGAGATCAAGATCGTTTATATCGTCTTGTCGGAGAAGTCTTATTCTCCACTTTGCAACATCATTGCAAAAACTATTTCAACTCTATTGCTATTTCGATGGCAAACGTTTGGACAAGCTCCATTCTTTACTTCCACCAGTTTAGGTTTTTACAGCTAGAACATGCCATGCTACTTTCACGGAGGTGAATCATCCACATTACCCCCCATGTTCCAAAGGGGAGAAGAAAGTGCCATTCAGACCAAGACCTGCTACTTTCTGAAACAGACTTCCTTGTAGTGCTTCAGGGAAGCGATCTTAACCATTTCAGTTCAAAGGTTAATCATTATCTATCTTTTCACTTCCTACCACCACATCTTACATTCGTATTGCACACCTCATTCATCATCACCAATTTAACAGTAATTCTCCACCTTGAGTGGCTCTCGAGCTTATATTGGGTGAATACTTTTCCATCTGTGTGATGTGTCCCTTCAGGACGCTGGCGATTAGGGCTCTCCACAATGTCCTGTCTTTTTTTTCTCTTAATAAATTTTATCTTTTTACTAAACCATAGTCCTTCATCCATTCACTAAAGCTCACCAGGTAGGTTATACATTGCTTTCCTATCCCTTACCTTCAATATTTCCTGTGAGAAGCAAATTTTTCAGATTAGACAGGAAATGGTTTATTGCTGACATTTCTAAGCTGGAGAAGATCAGTTCTTACATTCCAGTCTTGAAAGAGTTCAAAAATTGTTTATGCAGCTTTATGGTGGAACTTTACTTTCCACTATGCAGCCTCTTTCTTAGAAGCCACATTTCAAACCTATCGCTACGCTATCGCTATTTCCATGGCAAATAGATGAATGCCCCCATACTTTTGTTCCATCAGTTCAAACTTTTACTACTAAGACACACTATACTACTTCCACCATGTCAAATCATCCTCATTTCCTCAGTGTTCCAAAAGTAAGAAAAAAAGTTTCACTCAAAGTTTTGTCCCAAGAACTACTACTTTCTGGAATAAACTCTTGCACAGGCATTTCTGTGAACACTACAACACTTTTCAAGCCAAGGGTTGATTATTATCTATCTTCCCTGTTCTCATAATCTTTACTTCCTCCTACCATCTCTTTATCACAGATTTCATTTATTGCCATTTTAGCAGTAATCCTATCAAACCTTGTAAGTGGGTGAATCTAATAATTAAATGAAGTCCTATTATTTTTAACTGACCTCATATTTCATCAACATTAAAACATGTGCATTTTTTTAACTGATCTCATTTAAAGTGCTATTGTTAGTAACTCATCTCATATTTCCTAAGTATCAGTTTCTTCCTGATTTTCAATTACCATAATATAAACTAAGTGTCCAAACAATTTTAGGTAAAAATAATCATTAGTCCTTTGTATCTCTTAAATTGTCCTTTTGTTATTTCTCTTAAACCTTGTTCTGACATCCAATTGCTCATGCATTTCTTCAAATTAATTAACATTAATGACATTCATCACTTTCCACCATATTATATAGTTTGTTAGTTTTATTCATTTTTTTTTTTTTTTGCAATGAATGTTGGAGTAATGTTAAAGCCAGTGGGTAGTGAAAAGTGAAAATAAAACTTTGCTTCTTTATACCCAGTTCAAATGTAGCTGGTGTCAAAATACATACAAATGAAAATCAATATAATTTAACATATTTGTTTAATAAATCCTACTTGTGATATCATGGTTGACATACACAGTAATTAAGTCATTTGCATTGCATTTCTATAGTAAATTAATTTGGAATGAATTTTGATACCAAAAGTTGTTTTATTTTCTATTTATTGCTATAGTGAAGTCATTTGGGATGCATTTCTATAGTAAATTAATTTGGAATGAATTTTGATACCAAAGTTGTTTTATTTTCTATTTATTGCTATAGTGAAGTCATTTGCATTGCATTTTTGTAGTAAAAATGTTTGCAATGTATTTCTACTTTTAAATCATTTGCAATGCATTGCTATTGTAAATGCATTTTAAATTAATTTCTATAGTACAAAAATTGTTGCTATATATTTCTAGAGTAAAAGTTGATTGTAAAGCATTCCTCTAGTGAAACCATTTTCCATACATTTCTATAATAAACTCATCTAGAATTAATTTCTCTAGTACAAATTGGGTGCAACATATTTCTAGAGTAAACTCATTTGCAATGCATTTCTAGATTAAAAGCTGATTGTAATGCATTTCTAGATTAAAAACTGAGTGCAATTCATTTTTCTAGTGAACCCATTTCCAATGCATTTCTACAATAAACTTATTTGGAATTAATTACTAGAGTAAAAATTGGTTGCAATCTATTCTATAGTGAAAAAATTTGCCATGCATTTCTAGAGTAAACCTTATATACACTGTGAAACCATTTGGAATGCATTTCTATAGTAAAACCATTTACAATGTAATACTATAAATCACAACAGCACTATTCTGTAAGTAATGCTGTTATTAGTTTCTTGTGACTGAAAAATCCTTTCCTTTATTTTGAATGATTTTCCTATAATAGGACCATTAATAATACATTTACATTATACATATAATAGCTCTATACTTTTAGAACTGATTGTATCTCTTCCTGACCACTGACAATACACACTTTGATGATAGATTGAGCTCACACTAGGCAGAATAACAAGGTATATGTACAATATTTTGTTATCTTTTATAATTTAATAGATTTCCATAACCACTTGACCAAGTTTCCGATAATTGACTTCCCAAAATGATTTTTCCTAATTATATTCTAAGATGTCTGATGAACCTGGTGAATTTGGCTTCATGTAAGTAAAATTATTTTACTAGTTTTTGATAAAATTCTCTGAACTCAATATTTGTAATGATTGACTAATTGATTTGTTTGTACCTCTTATCAACCCTTTACAGTTTATTTAAAGCCAGCAAATATTTTTTTCTTTAAATTGTGCTGTGGTAAAGCAACGACTCAACTGATAGTAGCAGATAGGAAATGCGACGAGGGTAGCCGACAAAATAGTGTCACACGTCCAACCTTGTCACAAGCTAAAAACACCATCCTCAGAAACAAAAATGCACCTGCTTTCTACAGCCGAGGACTGACCATGATTTGCATGCGAATGACGAGACAATGAGATTTCACATTAACTGTCCGAGACCGCCCAGCATAAAACATGGGCGCCACAATTTTCGTTCTTTTTACCGTTGAGCAATCAGAGTTTGCACGACGCACAGATTCGTGGGCATTTCTGAGGTAGGCCATTTTCACAATTTTCCCCACAAATTGTAAGCATTTTTTTTTGGAGATAATTATTTACTGATTCGAGTCCTACTACTAAACCCATAACTGGGGTGAGAAAATGTAGATTCATGCCTTTCCCAAGGGTATTTGCATATTAGTGAATATAATAAAACTGAGCAAAATTTGAAGTTGGCTCATTGATTCCCAATACCAAGCCATTATCCATTACACCACCTGCGCACCCAAGTTTACAGCACCTGGTATACCCAAGTGGTCACCCATTTGAGTACTGACCAGGTTCAATGTTTTTTTTGTTTTTTTTTAACTTTGGTCATTTTATCATAACTAGTGTTCCAATGTGATATGACGGTGAGCTTCAAACTCCCCCAAGAATTGGTCTTTATGAAAAACAACCTTAAGGATT